CTGAACCATATCATGTTTGTACAAAAACTGAATGTCAATGCAATCATAAGAAGAAAAGCAATCTATCCAGACATTCATGAAAATTGGGAATATCTTTCATAATATTTCTTTGCAACTATAGTACAGAGAGCAAACAACATCATTAAAGGACTGTAACACAAAAAAGTATATTTTCCACTTTATAAATTCATAAAAATTCTGCTCTGTCATATTAAAACCATCTGCCAGTAATTTGCAAATTACTCAATACAAGCAGAGTTGCTGCTTAACGAGTAAAACTCTCAGTTTCCCAACTACTCTCTGGATGTTACCCACTTTGCAAAACGTATTAAAAACTGGGCATTTCCTTGATGCATGCAGAAGACCATACGTTGCACATCTTGCTATGTTTGGGTATTCCTGTTATTGAGTAAACTCAGGGCCTATAAGTTTCGCTGACCTGTGAAGATTGGCCCCTATTTACAACCCTCCTTCAGTAGCTCTTTTTGTTATTCACTCCCAGAATGTGGGTGTCGCTGGCTGGGCCAGCATTTAATGCCCATCTCTAGATGTTACACATTTTGGTTTGTCAAGCATATCTTTCTAGAAAGCCCTATTCTCTGCATCACTAAGTGCTCAATGGATTCTGTAGGCTTCTGATTGAATTCTCATGAATTTTAGTTGCTGAGTACGGATGCTTAACTGATTCTGAATTGGTCTTCTAATGTCTTCCATATTTTTGGGGGATCTTTTAGTGCCTTACTTGTTAATCTTAATGTGTTGACTATTCCAATTGATAAGCAAATCTTAGTGACTTATTTTTCTGCATGAGGCATACCCTGATTCTTGAAGGAGCTATACTGTGTGCCAATTCAAACGAGGGAATGTTGTGGACATTCTGACAATGTGCTTTTGACATTCCCTTGCTTGCTGTCATCCTGACACATGCCTTGATCACTTCACTTTTGGAAGTAAGTTCATCTTGCCACTTGATAAAGATTTGTCTGCTTACCATTAAGCTGTGTTTTCAACATTCTCGGTGCTATTTGAACAAGATATCAAAAATTGTCTAAAGCACTTTAGCATGGCTTAAGACTGCAAACCATGTGTTCTATCCATAGATTAACTTGCTTCCTGACTGTTCAAGCATGATAGGCTTCATCAGCACCATGTTTTCCACCACATGGCAGGTTACTACCAATAATATGAACAAGGGTAGTTCATTCAGCCATAGAGCCTCATCTCTGCCTTAAATAGGCAACTCCTTATTTTTAAACAATGACCCCAGTTCTAGATTCCTCCACAAGAGGAAACATTTTTTCTACATCTACCCAGTCAAGTCTCCTCAGAATTTTATATATTTCATCAAGTCACCTCTGAGTCTTCTAAACTCCACAGGGTACAAGCTTAGTCTGTCTCAAGACACCTCATAAGGCGACACACTCATTAAAGGTATTAGTTTGTAAACCTTCTTTGAACTGATTCCAATGAATTAAAGTCCTTCTGTAAGTATGGTGACCAGTACTGTACATAGTACTCCAGATGTGGTCTTACCAGTGCCCTGAAGCATAATCTCCCTTCTCTTGCATTTAATTCCCTTCACAATCAAACAGAACATTTTTTTAGCTTTCCTAATTACTTACTGCACCTGCTTACTAACTTTCTGTGATTCATGCAGTAGGACACCCAGATTCCTCTGCATCCCAGAGCTCTGCAAGCTCATATCATTTAAATAGTATATTTCTTGTTTATTCTTTCTGCTAAAATGGACAATTTCACACTTTCCCACATTATAATTCATTTGCCAGAACTTTGCTTACTCACTTAACCTCTTTATATCCCTTTGAATGCTCGTTATATCCTCTTCACAGCTGACATCTTTGTATCATTATCAAATTTACCTACCATATCATCAGTCGCTTCATCCAAATCATTTATAGAAAGCGTAAAGTGTTCAGGCCCCAGAAATAACCCCTGCAACACACTACTTGTGACATCCTGCCAGCCTGAAAAAAGACCCATTTATTCCTCCTCTCTACTTCCTATTAGCCAGCCAATGTTCTATCCTTACCAATACATTACTCCTTACACCATGAGTCATTTTCTACAATAACCTTTGATGATTTAATAAATTAATTAACCATTAATTTCCCGTGACAAAATATTGTTGGCTCTGCACGATTACCTTTAACTCATCTGAGAACCCTGAAATATAACCAATTGTAGATTGTATTTTACTGAAGAAGGAGTGAGAATTTATCCCTTCCTTGTATTATCATATTCTCAATTATTCAGCACCAGGGAAGATGATTGTATATTGGGAATATCTCTAGACTAGTAATCTGGAACCCAGATTAATGCTCTGGGGATATGAATTCAAATCTCATGTGGGAGATGGTGGCATTTAAATACAACAAATTAAACTCCAGAATTGAAAGCTGGTCTCAGTAACGGTGGTCATCAATTGTTATAAAAACCCATCTGATTCATGAATACCCTTTAACTTCTCTGGGAAAGGAAATCTGCCAATCTTCCCTGATCCTGCTTACATATGAGTACAGAACCAAAGTAATATAGCTGACTCTTAACTTTGCTCCGAAATGGCCTAGCACTACACTCCATTCAAGGGCAATTAGAGATGTGAAATATTGCCAGCAACGCCTACATCCCAAGACAGAACACATAAAACAAATAAACATTCATCCTCTGAAACGTATTTCTCAAATATAACCTGATAGCAGGCCCGTCAACCTTTTCGCATTAAGAAAGATTAAGTTCTGCCTGTGTACTCTAAGAGATTATTGCAGAGGAACATAAAATACAATCCCATTATCTTTGAATCCTTTTTTACTCTGATGTAATATTACCAACAATACATCACAACTGTAAATTCTGCAGATTCAAAGAGACTTAACAGTCAATTATAATCTATATCAACTTTTAATAAATGATTTACAAATAAAGACACTCTAACACATCAGAAAGACAATATTCAAATCATTTCTGTGAAAATTACACCCTAGCCCAAAAACAGTCCCATGATATTGGATCACCCAACTAAAACTCAATTAGCAATGTGTTCAAGTCCTTTTTAAATTTCACTGGTACCAACATTGACAAATAAAGTATTTCACCATTTATAGCATTAGCTAATTGGTTAAGTAGCAATGTATCTCATGATCACAGGCACAATAAGCCAAATGGACTCCTTTTATCCTGTATCATTCTGTGATCAGAAAATACATATCTGTTAGATAAATATATATCTGTTAATTTGGGAGTTCATTCTAAGTAAGATATATGGTTATAAACACAACTTGTTCATTTATAAGATATTCAAGTAGCATCACTGCCACTGCTTTACCACATTTTCCATTGTTCTTCCTTGTAAATATATAATTCATCTTGCATTTTTTAATTGTTCCTTACATTCAGACAATATTTCAGAGCACTTTACAAGATGGAGGAAATAAATGAAACAGAGATAGAGCATAGGTAAGGGGAAATAAAATGGTGAGGTTTGGATGAGAAATCAAGAATTCAACTGAAGGGGAGTAATCTGAGAAGGATATAAAAATGTGAAGGGAGGTGACCAGGCAGAGGACCTGGATATATGAGGAATCTGAGTAAATGAGCAACTGCAGATGGTGAAGCAAACAACAAAGAGAGGTCCTGTGTTAGATGAGCCATGGGTATGTGGTGGGATAAAAGGCAAGAGGTAATCATGAAAAAGTATGGGATAAGGCGATATTGGAAAGTCCATCCAGATTTTCATGCGCAAATCTGGCACAAACATATTGGGCCGAATGGTCTTCTTATGTGCTGCAAGTAACTCTACAACCATGGAGAGCCTTAAAACAAGGTTAAGAATTGACATCAGAGGAGTAGACAAACAGTGGAGGTTGGAATGAATGGAATGAATGAAAGAATAAAGCGTGAGAATCTGGGTTGTTTTTGATGTGGTGAAGTCTGCGGAGAGTTGAGGTCACATGTCAAAGTTACAGAAGTTAGGTATTGAGATAATAATGGTAACTTGAATCACTTGGGGAAATTAACTGAAGACAATGATGAAATTGAGATCACGAAAAAGAGAATTCCTCAACTGGTGAAAAGCTCTGGCTCATTTAGATCTTAATGTCAGACACAAAGGGCCAAACCTTCTGGTCTCTGGATCACCAAAGACTGGATTAAGGCTGGAAATGTGCCTTGGGAAAATGTGGAAGTCCTGACGCATGAAAATATATGGGAAATGCCCAGGACGTTTACACTTCAAATAGATAATTCCTCTGATCCCTGAGACCCTCCACCAACTCTGAGCACTCCAACTCTCTCTAATTTCTAGAGGGTCTCAGGGATCAGAGGAATTGCCTGTCGGAAGTGAAAACATCCTGGGCACTTCCCACAAATGTTTGTGAGTTAGAGTTGAAGAATTTGAACAGTTCTATGGTGATTGAGTAACTAGCCAGAAAATACTAGAAAAATTAAATCTTATCTATCTCTTGGTTAACTACACAACTAAACCCCCAATCACATGCTTTTCCCTCTCCAACTAACCCATTGAGTTCCCAATGAATCCCAATCCCCCAACTAAACCCCATGACTCAGCCCCAATTCTAGCTTGACTAACACTCTCATCCACCCAAGTATATCTCTGAATCCCAGAACAATTCCCAACCATCTCAGTAATCCTAATCATGAACCCCTCCAACTACATCCCTGAAAACATCCCTCCACACCAGTCTATCCACCGATCACCTGAATACCACTTTGACCTTACCCAATTAACCCCTGACCTTACTACTCCACTGAGCCTCAACTATTGCCCAACTACCTGACTACTCCTGACAGAAATACCAAACTGAACACAACCCAGTTACTCCCCTTACGTCCAACAAAACAATCCAGCCATCCCCATAACCTGACTATCCTCACAATCTGACATGACCAGCCCTCGAACTTAAGTACCCACTACCCACCCTGCTCCTTCTCATTCACCCACCCAGCCTAACTACTTGCCCATCCACTCCTTACTCAGTTACCTACTCACTCATCTCACCCATTTACACATCTATAAGTAATGACAAACTCCAACAAAAGAGAATTTAAAGATTGACCCTTTGATATTCAATGGAATTACCATTGTAGAATCTCCCACTGTCACCATCCTGGGGGTTACCACTGACCAGAAACTGAATTAGATTAGCCAAATAAATTCTACATCTACAAAAGCAAAGAATCCTGCAGCAAGTAACTCACTTCCTGACTCTCCAGAGCCTGTCCACTGAGTACAAAGCACAAGTCCATTAGTGCAATACCATCCACTTGCCTGCATAGGTGCAGTTCCAACAACACAGTGGAAGCTCAAAACTGTTCAGAAAGAGCAACCCACCAGGTTGGCACCCAATTCATTATCTTCACCCCACAAATGCACAGGGGCAGCAGTGTGTACCATCTACAAATTGCACTGCAGTAACGCAGCAGGATCCAGCAAAAGCACCTTCCTAATCTACAACTTCGACGACCTAGAAAGACAAAGACAGCAAATACTTGGGAACATCACTACTTACATGCTCCCTTCTAAGTCAGAAACCATCCTGACTTGGAACTATATCACTACAGGCGGTTCTCCTATAATGTGATAGTTGTGTTTATGTGTGACCTCATGCTATAGAAAATCGCCATAGAAAATCACATTATAGGGAATTGCTATACCCATACAGCAGAAAGCTCATGTTATCCAAACAGCATACACTATTGATCAATTGCGTTATAGCCACATTGTGTTAATGAAACACACATTATAGTAGAACTACCAGTATATCTGTATAATCAATGCAGGGGACTTTTCATTTTGGTTATGTAAACTAAAGAAACCTGCTTAAAGAAATTTGTATGCTTAAATGTTCATAATTGCACATTACTTTAGTTTTATGCTTTATTTTTCTTTTAATGATTGGCTATAACTACGTGATGAATTGTGGTCGTTTGTTTTAGTTGTATCATAACCACAAAGTACAAATAACATTGTCAAAGAATAGTTTGTAGACATTAATGAGTTATTTTGTTTCCCACCAAGATGATCTGGTGAACAGGTTGGGAACAGACATGGGGAAACACCATTCCTGCATTGAGATAGGTACAGTGAGGAACCAGAAGGCAACAGTTACTTTGGGCATAATGCACAAGGATGACACTAGAGGCAGGCAGCCAGTGGTGACAACTATCACTGAATGACCAAGAAGGTTGAGGACTAGTAGGAAGCTAGAGTTAGGTGGAACATTTGTGATTTTAACATGTGCAGTCACACTCTTGTGGGGAAGGAGAAGGTGGATTGGAGATACTTGAATAAGGAGTTGCCAGAGGGGATAGTTGCAAGGTAATCTTCTGGTTCCAGTCTTTGGGAACAAAGCAAGTTTGGAAATTGGGAATGCTGAAAAATATTCAGGCTGGGTTTCCTCAGCAGGAGGAGGATGATAAAGGCTTTTAAAAGCTGTTTTAAGAAGCTGAGCTCCTTAAATACAGATAAGAGGAATAGTTTGATAATGTCATCAAGCATGAGCTTGAAGAAATCAAGTTGACTGCTCCAGAGTAAGTACACCGAGCAACAAAGCAATACTAGGCTGTGTAGGTAAGATGAGGACAATGGAGGAAAACAGGAAGGTAAGAGCATCGTTAGATGAGGGCATTTGGTAAAGCTTACAGTTTAGGAGAGTAGGGACAATTAGAGTAAGCAGAAATAGATATTTTCAATGACTTCTATGTAGTAATACCAGGCAACATTTATGGAAGACACTACACTGAACATCTTGGCTATTTTTCACAGAAAATTATTTATCATTCCGAGTAGCCTGTTCACTATCATTCTCTAAATTGTCTCCTGAGGTGCCGCCCTCCTTTTTGGATTCAGAAGCAGACTCAGAGTAGGCTCCCATATCCAACACTTGCAAGAACTTCAGCTTCTGAAATGCAATTTCTTTTACTCTACCAGTTGTAAGTCTGTTGTCTCTGTGAAATGAAAAGATTGCAGTGAATGTAATATAAAAATAAATTTGCATTTATTCAGCATCTTTCATGACCACTCAAAGCATATCACAGCTAACGAAGTATTTTAATGTGAGGAAGGATCACCGGATCCGAAACGTTAACTCTGTTTTCTCCTTCACAGATGCTGCCAGACCTGCTGAGCTTTTCTAGCAACTTTGTTTTTGTTCCTGATTTACAGCATCCGCAGTTCTTTTGGTTTTTGTTAAGTATTTTAATGTGTTCATCATATTGTAGGAAGCCACATCAGCCAAGTCCCACTAACAGCAATGAAATAAATAATTGGATCATCTGTTTTGCACTCACTTCCTCTATTCTTCTTCAATAAGAACTTTACACCAGCTTGAGAAGACAGGTAGGGCTGCAGTTTAACATCTTACATAAAATGACACCTTTGACAGTGTAGCACTCCCAATGCTTTACACTGAAGTTTCAACCCATATTATGTGCTCAGGTGTCTCAAACAAGGCTTGAATCTGGTGTCAGCATGCCTCCAAAGAAGGTGTTTTGCCTCTCTTCTGTAGCATAAGAAATTGGACATGAATATCATGGTATAGATGGGTTCAACATATTTATTACAACTAGCTATTATGCATAAATGCAACACTTTCTTTTCTCTTTCTACGTAGCTGCTGCCTAAATTGATGAGGTTTTACCAACTTTTTTTACTTTAAATTTGAATTGGGCTGTGCATCTGCTGTTCCTTCTTGATACCTGTAGTGATTGTAAAAAGGTCAGCCAAGTGGAGCTCATAGAATATGAGTTCCCTGATTGGGGCTGTTAATCAAGGAGCGCTTGCTGACAAGAGTGTCAGAGGTTCTGTTCAGTCTGAGAGCTGGCTCTGAGGAAGCTGGATCAGTGTCAGATGTCCACATGTAAATAAAGAGTGACTTGGTGATGGGACACTAGCCTCTGTGGAGTTATTTCAATGGTGACAAGAGAAAAGCACAATCCTGAAGAAATTCATGCACAACAGTCGCCTTTGAATTGGGGTATGGATTTCTGGAATCATGCTATTATTTTGGAAGCTTGGCTCCTTCAATACTGCTGTCAAAGGCTGGAGCCAGAATGTGGAGAGAATGCATAATTTATTCCAGACAAATGACATTGGGGCAGATGAAAAGAAACGAACAATTCTCCTGACAGTTTGTGAACCCGTAGCTTTATTGGTTATAATCATAGAGATGTATAGCACAGAAACAGAGCCTTTAGTCCAACTCATCCATGCCAACCAGATATCCTAAATAAATCTAGTCCCATTTGCCAGCATTTGGCTCATATCCTTCTAAACCCTTCCTATTCATTTACCCATCCAGATGCCTTTTAAATGCTATAATTCCTCTGATAGCTCATTCTATATATGTACCACCCTCTGCATGAAAAAGTTGCCCCTTAGGCCTCTTTTAAATCTTTCCCCTCTCACCTTAAACCTATGCTGTCTAGTTTTGGACACTTTCACCCCGGGGAAAAGACCTTGGCTATTCACCCTATCCATGCTCCTCATGATATTATAAACTTTTATAAGGTCACCCCTCAGCCTCTGATGGTCCAGGGAAAATAGCCCCAGCCTTTTCAGCCTCTCCCTATAGCTCAAACCCTCCAACCCTGGCAACATGCATGTAAATCTTTTCTGAACCTTTTCAAGTTTCACAACATTTTTCCTACAGCAGGGAGACCAGAATTGAATGCGGTATTTCAATTGTGGTCTAACCAAAATCTTACACAGTTGCAGCATGATTTCCAAACTCTTATACTCAATGCACTGACCAATAAAGGCAAGCACACCAAGCGTTTTCTTCACTACCCTGTCTACCTGTGACTCCACTTTCAAGGAACCATGAATCTGCACCCCAAGGTCTCATTGTTCAGCAAAACTCCCCAGGAACTTAGCATTAAGTGTATGAATCCTGCCCTGATTCACCTTACCAAAGTACAGCACCTCACAAATATATCTAGATTAAACTACATCTGCCACTTCTTGGCCCACTTGTCCATCTGATCAAGGTCCCGTTGTACTCTGAGGTAACCTTCTTTGCTGTCCACTCCACCTCCAATTTTGGTGTCATCTGGAAACTTACTAACCATACCTTCTATACTAACATTTATATAAATGACAGAAAACAGTGGACCCAGCACAAATCCTTGCAGCATACCAATGGTCACAGGCCTCCAGTCTGACAAGCAACCCTCCACCAACACCCTCTTTCTCCTATCTATTAGGCTGTTAGGTGATGGTTATTAGGAGCCTAACTTTTCCTGAGGCACCAGACACTAAAGCCTTTCAAGAACTGATGGATTTAGTGAAGGAATACTATGATCCCAGGCCTCCTGTAATTCTGAGACATTTTCAGTTTTTCTCAGTAATTTGAGGACCAGGGGAATCCGTATCGGGATTTTTGACTAGGCTAAGGTGAGGGGCAGAGGCATATGACTTTAGTTTACCCTTTAATGAGATGTTGAAAGACTGTTTGGTATGTGGGATTAATGATACAATCGTGCAAAAGCATCCACTAGCTGAAGCCCAACTGGACTTCAAACATGCACTACAACTGGCTTTATCATGGGGAAATGCTGCAAACGGAACATATAAGTTGCAGGGTATTCCGATGGAAGCGAACACCCTCACCAGTCCGAATGAGTTTGCGGAACATCACTTGAGTGAAGGCAAATGCATTGTGTCACTCAGGACATTTCCTAAACTGAGAGACACTAGGTCAGCCGACAGCAAAACCCCAAAACAAAGCCAAGCCTCAACCAAACAGTTAAAATTTTCTCCAGGATCTGGGCTGGCAAGCCATTGTAGCTCTGCGGGTATGTGGACTTGAGACAACAAAAGAGTCCCACTAGACCTAAAACGAGTAAGAGAATTCATAGGCTGGTATCCAGGAGAGTGCACACCCTGGAAAACCCCAACTACATCTGGTTTGGAATAGTTAAATTGCTTAGCAACATCCAAATCAGAACCAATCAAAATAAACATCTGGTTAAATGGTAACCCAGTTTGAATGGAGGTCGATACCGGTGCAACCGTTTCAGTGATCGCAGAACCAGTCTTTCGCAAAATTCAGTCTGGATTCCAACCCTTATGTTTGCACAAGGCCTCTGCTAGACTGAGAACCTATTCTGAGGAATCTTTACAGATTAAGGATACAACTTCGGCTCTGGTTTCTTATGAGAAACAGCTGGTTCAGTTACCACTGATTGTAGTAAAAGGCTAGCGGCCGGGTTTGTTAGGGGGAAATTGGTTGGGAACTGCTTACCTGGATTGGCTCAACACTTCTGGATTAGAAATGAAGTCCTAATTAAATACCTGGAAGATTTTAGGAAGGTCTAGGAACTATCAAAGGAGCCAAGGACACTTTGGATTTGACCAGGAAGCAATTCTACGATTCTGCAAGGCCTGCCCAGTGTCATTTACCTTATTTTCTTCCCAAGATATTGAGGATTGACCCAGGGTCAAATGATTTCATATCACAGTGCACCGAGCTGTCAGAAGGCACAATTATAGAAAGCAAAATGTTACATATTCATGAACATATTTTCTTTGTTGAAGTGAGCAATGCAAAGGGATCTTTCTTTCTTTGATAATAAGCGCCCAGAATGGTGTTCATAATTAACTTACCTAAGAAAAATCCCTTTGATATTTGGTGTGGATTCAAACGCATTCTCTGAGATGACAGAAATCTGATTATTCTGGAGGTAAATATATTCAAGAGACTCTGGCAGATCAGTAGGGACGTAGGAAAGTTGATTGCCTGACAGATCCAAAAGCTGAAAACAGAAAACAACAAATTAAAACTAAAATACTTGTCCAATTATGCATAAAGGAGCTGCATAGTTTCTATAACACATACTATAGCACAAATGATTTTAATGCCTCAAGTCAATATCGTAACCTCATAGTCAATTTTTCATTTAGCTGAATAAATTGAAATTTATAGCTGTAAGTGGCTCGAGACGCATCATGAAATATGGTTTGAAGAATGTAACTTCCCGTGGTGTGATCATCCCATCCAACAATTTCTTCTTGCTCCTAAAACTCATTCTGTTGCTGTTCAAACCAGTTCACGCAATAATTCCAGGAACTTCCACAGTATTCTAATGGTCTATTCGCAAGTGGGTGAAACACTGCCACCTGAAATCATTCTGTCCCCCAGTTTTTTAATTTTCAGTCATGTTAGCTGATATCATATCAGTGATGAAAAATACAGAAATTCTCATGACTTTTCAGCATTTAAGACAACGGCCTAGAAATGTGATTTCTTTTGGATGCCAAATGGCAGCTAAGTCTCTAATTTTCTGAGCAGGAATTTAAGTGATTTTTGATGAACATTTCTGAACTGTTACAATAGCAGATTCATAAAAGAGCAGGTAACCAATTAACTGACTAGTTAACAAATGCTTCGTTGTCAGTACTTTTCATGAACAACAGCAATAGTACTATATTGTATTTTTTTTTTGTCCATTATAAGTTAGTACTACCGAAGTTATGGTAGCATCGTGATTATATCACTGGGCTGGTAACCACAGGCCTGGACTAATGATGTGGAACATGAGTTCAAACGCTATGATGGCAAGTGGGAAACTTACATTCAATAAATGAAATAAATATGGAATAAAATCTGCATCAGTAATGATGACCATGAAACATTGTCCTACAATCTCAACTGGTTCACTAAAGTCTTTCGAGGAAAAACAGGCACAGGCAATTGGGAATGGTCAATAAATGCTCGCTTTGCCAACAAAGCCCACATCCTGTAAATGAATGAAAATATGAAAGTCGGCATTCCACAGATTTAATTTTACAACATTTCTTCAGAGGTACATTTTTACAATAATATTGTCCCTTTGCAATTGCCATTCGCTTTGTTTTAAAAATATATAAAAATTTAATACAAATGGTTTCCATAAATTTTCTCCATTCATTCACTGGAAGTGTTTACTGCCACTTCATGGACACCAGCAGGACTCCTCCTGACATACCAAACTGCAGTTGTACCATTTTTATTGTAAAGGTGTACCATGCCAAAAGTTGGAGATTTATGGACTTAAGTACAAAAGAACTGGAAGCAAGAATGGGCCATTCAGACCCTTGAGCCTGTTTTAACATTTAATAAAATCACAGATAATCCTTAATCTCAAATCTACTTTGCTGCCTGATTCCCATTTCCTTGGATTAGAACATAAAAATGTATCCTCCTCAGCCTATAATACATTCAATGACTGACAAGCCACAGTCCTTAGGGATGGAGAATTTCAAAGATTTTCAACCCTCTGAATGAAAAAGATTCCCGTCTTCGTCCAAAATGGTTGCCCCTTATCCTGAGACTATGTCCCCTAGTTCTAGACTCTCTAGTCAGTGGAAAAAAACCTCAATATTTATCCTGTGAGCCGTTAGGTTATCTTTTATTTCAATGAGCTCATTTAATTTTTCTACAAAATCTCTCTTCACAGGAAAACCCTCTCAACATAGGAATCAATCTTAAGAATTTTTGTGGCATTCCCTCTCAGGCAAATATACCAAGAATGGAAAACAAAGTTGTAATTAGTACTCCCAAGTGTGGTCTCAATAAAATCCTGTACAATTGTAGCAAGACTTCCATATTCTTTACATCAACCACCTCAGAGTAAACACTAACATTCCATGTCTTATGTTAATTGTATGCCTTACCTCTATGTTTATGTGTTTTTTGTAGAAGGACTTCCAAATCATTCTGAAAACTAACATTTGTTAATTGCTCAACATTTATAAAGTCTTCAATCTTTCCCTTCCTCTTCAGAAAGTGAATTTCCTCTCAGTTTGTGCAGTGCATTTTGTCTGTCACCTTATTTACCCACTCAAATTGCAGAGATCTCTTTGCAGATGCTGTACTAGATTTCTGGTGCATGTCAGCTGCCTAACATTGGGATGCTGTTGGAGCCTCCACTCACATTGGCATGGCACCTGCTCATATAGTATGCTGAGATATACTCTCCTAACTGGCTGCCTTGCAGTTAGCTCTCCAATTAGGGATAGTGGGCACCACAATCAGATTCACTATGACCAGCAGCCCCACTGAGAGATGTGGGCACTGCTGAAACAAACAGGTGATTGTATTGGCACCTCATGACATAGGTACACTTCTGCAATTTTGAGAATAAAACAGCCCACAGTTGTATGAAGTAGGAACCTTCCACAGGATTGGGTTTTGGCCGTAGTTACCGAATGCCTTCAGAAATTTCAAATATACCATCGCCACAGATTTCTGAATTTGTTTAATCACTTTATTAATATTAGATTCCAGCATTTTTGACTGATGTCAAGCTCACAAACTATGTACAGCCAATTTCTGTCTCCCACCTTTTTTTGAATAAAGCATATTACCTTTGGTCACTTCCAATCACCTGCAATTGTTGTAAATCTAAGAAATTTTACAAGGATAAAGTCAGTGATACCACTAACTGCAACTCATCTCTCTGAAATCCCTAGCATGTAGGCTGTCACATCTAGGGACTTTGTCAGCTTTCCATCCTTTTAATTTCTCCAGAACTGTTCTTAGCTACTATTAATTACTTTACTTTAAGTTCCTCACTCACAATTCCCAACCAGTTCAGATATTTATATTTTGTGTGTTTTCCAATGTGAGGTGAGATACAAATTGCAGAATATTCTCTTTCCCCAAATGATGTGGGCTATGGAGCGAAATTTGGGAGAATTGCGTGAGAAGTTGAGCAAGGCCACTCTTAATGTCAAGACTAACAAGTTGCTTTGTCCAGTTAAGTTCCAGATGTCGAGACAAAATTCTTGCTATGGAGTGGTGAAAGATCTCTAAAGGGGATTGCCACTCACTATCACTCATTATTACTTAATCTTGCCTCATTAATTTGCACTTTCCTATTCTACCAGTTGTGGGATAGAAACTAGACACTGAGAGTACCCGACACAAAAGTGAGAGTGGCTAACTCCAGCTCACTGCTTGTTTCTTTGGATCTTTGTCTTGGACACCTGGCGACAACATCTGAGGACACACTCCATGGTCAGTGGCTGCATGTACCCCACATCCATGGATGCTGGCATCTGAAATATGCCAGCCTCTCCACATCTATCTCCAACCCACTTACAGTACACTTGTCCACTCTCTTGCTACACTTGGCATCTACCATTGGAATTCTTTTGGAGGATACCATGCATGCAGGAACAGGCACCCAGCTCATAAACTGGACAAAGCTGCATCTCAGGGCTGGTTGCTTGCTCTCTTTGCACTTACTCATTTTACATTTACCCAGACGCTCACAGCATCCTTGCATTGTCTTTTCACACTTTGACACTTGAGCTACACTTTAAAGACTTTCAGTACTATTGTCTTGCCTTACAGTTTAGCATAGACACAAAGCCAGGCAGCTTTTCTTGCTGGTCAGCAGTGATCAGTTAATTTTTTTTTACTCATTTACGGAATGAGGGCATCGCTGATCAGGCAGCATTTATTGCCCATCCCAAATGCCCAGAGGGCAGTTAAGAGTCAACTACGTTGCTGTAGGTCTGGAGTCACATGTAGGCCAGACCAGGTAAGGATGGCAGTTTCCTTCCATAAAGGATGTTAGTGAGCCAGATGGGTTTTTCCAACAATTTATGGTCATCATTAGACTATGAATTCCAGATTTTTGTTGAATTTAAATTTTACCATCTGCTGTGGCGGGATTTGAAACCTGGTCCCTAGAACTTTAGCTGGTTCTCTGGATTAACAGTCCAGTAATAATACTACTAGGCCATCGCCTCCCCACTAATGGAGTGGACTTGTTGGTTTATAGCGCAGTTCTACATCAATCTCACATCTACAGCATGTCCCAGCAGTGGCAAACACAACAAATGTGCTGCAGGCCAACAGCTATGTCTGAAACTCCAAGGGGAATAGTCCTTTGTCAAGTCCAAGGAGACAGGCTTGGGTCAGGGGATCCTGACACAGTGAGTCAAGGGTAGCTACCAATATCAGTGCAGGGGCTTGGGCGCATTTAGTTGCCTGGTTGGAATGGTCAGGATCAGGAGTCCATGCCTCGGCTGTCCAGGGAATGGACCATGGTCAGCCTTGTGAGTTCAATGCAACCAGCTCATGGAGTTGTGGGAAGACAGTCAATCAGTCTGATCAATAATTGTAAGGGGTCATCTGGCTAACTCCCTCAAGGGTCTGGGCCATGATCAGTCTTGGAGCTCCATCCACTAAATGTCAAGGGGCATCATCAGGGCCACTTCTGCAGGAGGGAGGCTGGGATTGGACTCAGAATTCTGGGATGTAGAGTGGACAATAATACTGAAAGGCACAACTCATTATGTAAGGGAGGAGGTGATGCAGCACAGGTGGCAAAGGGATCATGTGAAGGGGAAGGTTTGTCAAAAGTATATGGTACATGGGGGGACAGTGCACTACCAGACCTGGGCTGGATGGTAATATAGACAGATGAAGACTGAGTTAGATGGGTCGGGTGGAGATTTAAGAACGTGCTTACGGTCTCAGCTTCACTTACCTGTCATGCCTTGGGAAATGAAACATTGAGTAGTGGTTGTGGCTGGACAGAGACTCATACACACAGATAATGGTAGCCATGATGTGGAGGTGCTGGTGTTGGACTGAGGTGGACAAAGTCAGAAGTCACACAATACCAGGTTATAGTCCGACAGGTTTATTTGAATTCACAAGTTTTCGGAGTTCTGCTCCTTTGTCAAGTGAAGACTTTACCTGACAAAGGAGCAGCACTCCAAAAGCTTGTGATTTCAAATAAACTTATTGAACTATAACCTGGTGTCGTTTAACTTCTGTCAGATAATGGTGAAAGTGAGCAGATATTCGCAAATGTGAAAACTTACTTACATTGATATGTCACCGTGTTATCTTTGTGCCCTTAGAAGTTCTTTTTTATTTCTTTCCCTCCAACAATGTCCCGGTGTGGTTTTGTATACAGGGAGGAGGGAGCCTAATGTACAGTGGAGCTTGTTTGCGTTGGGCCTCTGTTTGGGCAACTGACGGGAGCAGTTTTGTCCCGAAGGCCCAGATGTGCTAAGTGTGTTCTGCCTAGAGGCAAGTCCACTCTCCCCAGCTTGAACGCACAAAGGACTGAGGGTTGCAGGTACCTTCCTGCTACCTCTGGCCTGTTCTGAAGACAGATTTATGGAGTGGGGGATTGGAGAGAAAACCTGTATGTGGTTTCTCCTCTGGCTGGATGGCCAAACCACCCTGTCTCCTTGTGAGGAAGAGGCACCTAGAGTGAGATCAGGGCTCCTTCCCTTGTTCTCTTTTTGCCTTGCTATCAGTGGCTGGAGTGATGGAGTGCTTGTCTGTGTATATATCCAGCAGACCCGATGGGTGCTGGACCTGGGCGTCCATGGCAGCTGGCAATCTGTCCATGGAGACAGCTTAACCATGATAAAACTGATGCCACAGGAACATGGTAGGTAGTTACTGAGGTGCGTTTAAGATGATAGTGTGATAAATCTCATTAGGAAGAAATGCCTCCATGAAACCCAATGAAATGACACCACCAAAGTATGAGAAATTTCAGCCCAAAATCTCTGTTCATTGTCTCTGCTAATTCCTTCTTCCACTTATAATTTCTCCTGCCTCATCATCTGAGGATCCAAGTTTACTTTTGACATACTCTTTCTTTTTGAAGCAGGAACTTAGAATTTAGGGGAAGGAAGAGGCTATTTGGCCCTTCAAGCCTGGTCAGTCATTCACTATGATGATGGCTGATCTGCTTGTGGTCTCAGCTCCACTTTCCTGTCTACAGGCCATAATCTTTGACTTCTTTGTTTATCAAAAATGTACAAGTAACAGATTGCTCCGTCTTGCATGGTATTGAGGCTCTCAAGTGTGGTAGGAGCTGCGCTCATCAGGCAAATGGAGAGCACTCCATCACTCTCCTGACTTGTTGATGGTGGAAAGGTTTTGCGGAATCAGGTGGTGAAACAAAACAGAATAACTGCACTCATGGCCACTATTCATTTTGTGGCTCCCATGAAATTTCTGCTCAAAGGTAATGCTAGATTGTTGATGGTGGCAGATTCAATGGCAATAATGGTATTGAATCTCAAAGTGGTATAGTTAGACTCTCTAGTTGGAGGCTATCATTGTTTGACATTTGAGTGGCAGGAATATTCTTTGATATTGATCAGTTCAAGCCTGAATGTTACCTACGCACTGCAAGATCTGGACATGGATTTGATTATTTTCTGAGGAGTTGCAAATGGAACTGAATCCTCTGTAATTATCAGCAAACATTTCTACTTCTGGTCTTTTGAGGGAGGAAAGGTCATAGTTGGAGTGCTGAAGATTGTTGAACCAAGAATATTGTACTGATGAACTCCTGCAGTGATATCCTGGGCTGAAATGATTGAATAACCACTATTGCTCTTTGTACTAAGTCTGTCTTCAGCCACTGGAGAGTTTTCTCTCTGATTTTCACAGACTTCAATTTTGCAGAGCTCCACGATGCCACCCTCAGTCAAATGTTGTCTTGATGTCAAGGGAAGTAATGTTCACCTTACAACTGGAATCCTCAGTCAAATGTTGTCTTGATGTCAAGGGAAGTAATGTTCACCTTACAACTGGAATCCAGCTCATTTGTCCATGTTTGAAACAAGGCTGCAGTGATACCTAAAGTACCTGAAGTGAACTGAACATTGAGCATTGATTTTTGGCACATAAGTATCAGTTGATAGCACTGTTGATTACATCTTCTATTGTTTTGTTGATGAATGAGGACAGTCTTATAGGACTTCAACTGGCCAGACTGAAGTTGGTTTTTAGTGAGCAAGTCAGAGACAAGAATTTCCCACTTTATTGGGTAGATGGCAATAAGTTAATACGTTAATTGTACTGGAACACCTTGGCTAGAAAAGTGGTCAATCAAGAAACACAAGTCTTCAGCATTACAGCCAAAATAGGTCAGGGTCCATTGTGTTTACTGTATCCAGGATCTTAGTACAGTCCAGTACACTTTCTTGGTATTGAATTGCTTTGGCTGAAGACTGGCATCTGTAATAATTGGGACTTCTGGAAGTGGCCTGAGATTATTTTTCATATGCTTGTAGGAGATTTACATTCTGTTGACATACATCTGGTTAGTTTACCTTCATATTGTATTTTCGTCCTCATTATCAATTTCTTTGATCATCCTTTCCTTCACTGATATTTAAAACTCTTTCAGTCCCCCGGCTTACTAATCTTGGTAATATTATGAACCTTTCATTTTAATCAAACACTATTCTAACCTTAATTTAAATCTCAAACACTGAATGAACATGTTTCAGAAAATACTAGCTCCTAATCTCTCGTTCTGTGTTAGGTTTAACACTAAGTCTAACTTAGTTTCGCACTTAGTCTAGCCATGGACAAATCTCTTTTTTCTGTGGAGTTTTTATTTCACAATAAAAGGCAAATTCATTCAGAATTATGAAATACTTCTTGTAAGTGTTTACTATGCCCTATTAAGTTTGCTTGTTGGTTGGAGGCCCTACCAGTACAGTATTTAAGAAGAATTAGTTAATATTAGCAGCCCAGTGAAATGGATTGCATTTAGGTCTCTGTCGTTTCTATAGGAGACCAAGAAAATCCTGCTTCATGCTGAGTGAAGTTCTCAGAGTCCACGGACCAAAAAAAAATGTCTGTTTGCATTACTCCTGACCTCTCTTTGAAAGTATAATTTATAAACATGTGCATCAATTGAGCAAATTAATTTATTTTATAATGCTCCTTCTTAATGAATAGCCAGCCAATGTTCACTACATAGACTCACTCATGCAGAATGGCAACATAATCAGCAACATGAGCAAGCTTTAAAGAGGAGAAACTAATACAAAGGGTCACAAATAGAAAAATGCTATTCATTCAATGTCCACGATTTGTTCTGATGTTAATCTCTTACCTGTAGAGTAGTCAGTTGCTTCCATGCTCCTGGATATATTGAGTTCAATTTGAGTTTGTTATTACTCAAGAAGAGTTCCTTTAGCTTTGTCATTCCTGAAAGTGAGCCATCGGGAATTGAATTAATTTCATTTTCCTTCAGCCTCAATACATGCAAATTCTTTGGCAGACCACTGGGCACTACATTTAGATTATTTCCAGAGAAATCCAAAGATTCAAGCAGCCTTGTTTTCCGGAATGCATCTGGGTGGATTTTAGGGCTTGTTAGTTTATTGTAACTCAGATTAAGCTCTGTCAAAAAGTATGAGTGAGCAAAATCATTTCTGGAAATTTCTGAGATCTGATTATGGAGAAGCATTAATGTCTTCACCCGGCGTGGTAAGCCACTTGGAATTCTTTCCAGCATATTATTGTAGAGATGAAAGGTATGAAGTTTTTTAAGTCCCTTGAATGCAAGTGGATGAATTGCTTTTGCCTTTATCTTGTTGTTATGAAGCAAGAGGTATTCAAGGTTTTTTATCTGTGTCAGCCAGTTGGCAGGTATTGATTTAATAGCATTTTTTTCCAAATGTAAGAGGATAATATTCCGAGGTAACCCTCTTGGTATTTGTGTCAGATTGTTACTTGACAAGTCCAGGTATTCCAAGCTTGACAGTTTCCTAAATTCAAGAAGAGCAGATGTCATGTACAATTAGGGAATAACTTACAGTTTACTAAATATTCTAAAACTGCCTGATAGTTGGCGTTCTTCGAACACAATGATTTGAAGTTTTTAATTTACGTGTGAAATTGACAATTATTTAATTCTACATACTATTTTCCTTAGGTGAGTTTCAGCCATTCTTTACTTGCCTTGTGTAGGGGTGACCTGTACCTTGGTATGTAAGGTGACTTGTACCTGAACACACTAAGCAGCCCATGCCTACTTACAAGATGGCAGACAGAAACTAAGCAAAACTAAGCAGCCTGCTCACACAGTGAAATACAATGGTACCTTTGAACAGAACTGCTGGAAGGTCAGTAAAGGAATGAACGCTGTATGTTCCCACCCGAGACAGTTCTGATAAAAGGATACCTTAGGACAGATAAATGCCAATTCCAACTTTATTAATGAAAGAATGATTGTCCTAGTAAGTGAATAATGTTCAGTGCTAGATTAGGTTCTCAAGCAGCTGCAAGGATAACAGCTAAGATTATTTTGTAGTTAATATTTGCTTCTTTGAAGTTACCTGCAATATCAAATAGTTTCTAGCTAAAAATGCTCTAATCATAGACGTTGGTTTCAACACGTAACCAGGATATAATACAAGCCTTAAAAAAAGTTTAAACTTAGATGTAAAGATTAACTAGCCTTAGAAGACACCTTCGCTTATGCCCTGAGCAAGATAGATTGATCATAACCCATAAATTACAAAATGCTAAAGTAGAAGTAGTTGTATAATGTTACACTCATAATTAACTTTATAACAGAAGTTAACCTTATAGCAATTAGTTAAAACTAACTGACTTTTTACTTTTACATTATGTAGTTGGGACGGTGGAAAAATAAAAGGATTAATTGAATGTGATACAAGATAGCACCAAAACACAATGGGTGAATTTGAGCTGTCCTTACAGATAAATAAGCCTGAGAAAAACCTGAAGGAGTATAGCCGTTAAACTTTTGGAATGCGAATGGATAGGATGCATGGGAAGATCCCAAGACATAAAGATTATAATGTCTAGCTAATACCATAAGATCATGGGAACCTGGGGCTGTCCATGGAAGTGCCCATCACTGATTAAGAGATAGTAGGATTTTCTGAAGAAGGGTCCAGACCCGAAACGTCAGCTTTCCTGCTCCTCTGATGCTGCTTGGCCTGCTGTGTTCATCCAGCTCTACACCTTGTTATCCCATCACTGATTAGGTGTCCCACAGGATTGGGTGTTTGAATTAAGGGGAAGGATGATGACTACGTTTTATTTGATTACTGTAACACAAAATGTATAAAAATGCTGTATTTCTTTGTAAAAGCAGAGGGTGTGTCATTGATCTATCTTCCGAAGCTAGATTTGGGGGAATATCCTTTGGCCCTCTCCCTGCATAAACTGATTTCTGCTGAATAAACATCTTCCACTTGCCTGAATCCTGCCTGCCTCCTGAGTCTTTGTCCTGGGTCGGGAAAAACACTCCTATACCCTTGGTAGAAAGTATGCCTCAAGAAATGCAGGATTTGAGACTGGGAGTAAAGGTATCTTTCCAAAGTTGTACAGAATGCAAACAAGGATTGCCAGATTTATTGAGACAACAAGGTGCAGGGCTGGATGAACACAGCAGGCCAAGCAGCATCATAGGAGCAGAGACTCTGCTCCTA